AGTGCTATTATTAATTGCATATGCTTTATTAATAGTAATTAATTAATTATTTTTTAATATAGAATGATTTTGGTAATAGTGATCCATCATATAAAACAGCTGAATCGATACTAAACAATGAGAATCATGGTTCTTTACGACAAGCATTACTCCAGTATGACCCATCACCTCAGTATGAACCTGAAGCAGGTTCTTCATCATTTTAGCAATCATCTCAACATCAAATAGAACTTTTACAGGAGGATGCTGATAATTTATTTTGTTGCAATAATTAAATTTTTGCTTCAAATGTTTTTTTTGAATTAGTTTATATTTGCTAGCAGTTATTATATAATAAATTATAATAAATTTAATTATTTGTGTTATAATATGATTATACAGTTTTAGTAACAGTAATAAATTTATATTATGTATTGTAATTGGTTTTATAAATAATATATTTTATAAATATCTTATTAGTAATATTGTCTTTTAAAAAAAGTACTTGATTAAACTGGTTATATATCGATTGATAATCTTATTAGATATATATTGATTGTTTAAAGCTGGTTATATATTGGTTTATACCAAAATTGATATAACCTAGCAGAGGTGACTAGTATCAATATATATCTAATGGGTTACCAATCACTATATATCTCTATATAAAATTTCTTGATGATTACAAAACAGTAATATTGAAGATATGGATAGCTTTTAGAATCCATAAGAAATATTTGAAGAAACAACAATTATCTCTAGACAAGCTATTGGTATAACTGTGATAAAGAATCTGTTACTTGCAGAATTGATATTTTTTATATATCAGATAAAGAAACTATCTATATCTCTACTGCTAAAAACCAAAGATTATCTATCTATTTATAAATGATATTATTTAAACTAGATTAAACCAAGTTTAAAAGCTTTTACAACTCAGAATTAACAAATATAGACTAAATAAAATTTTATGAATTCTTTCTGATATTCAATTTTTCTTATATTCAAATTTGTCTATATCTTTAAAAGATTTAAACAGAGATTTTAAATAAAGCTGATAAACATTAAGAAAAAGCTTATTCAAGATAGATTAGTTAAAAAATCTTGAAAAAATTAGAAAAATATAAAAATTTATATTTTAAAGAATCTATTACAAAACACTATTCTTGTTAAATTTGACTTTTATTATCTATTATATTAGTATAATTAATATTCTTATCTTTTTATTTATTAGACTGATAGCATAGCTTGAAGTCTTTAAACTACAAAATTTATAACAAAAAAAAATTTTATAGATATTATATATAGTTATTGGATATATATTGAATAATTTTTTTTTAAAACTCTAAAATGAATAGTTGTTTAGAAGTATTTGTAGTTTTATTCTTTATTTTTAGTTATAGTCTTTTTGATTTAAATTAGTTTAAATTACTATATTTGAGGTATCTGTAAGTCATGAATATAGCTTGGTACTGGCAAGATTAATAAGTACTATGCTTGGTGAAAAATTAGTAATTCTGAAAGAAAAAAAATAGTGAACCTAAAAGAGGATTTAGAAAATAGTTTTGACTAAAAAAAGTCAATGAATACTGCTGCAATCAATTTAAAATTTTAAGGACAACTTTTTTAAAGAATTCTATTTCTTTTTTACTAAGTCTTTCTTAGTAAATAAATGCTATTCTAATTCATAAATCAAGTAATGGTCTTTTTTTTTATTTCTATAAAAAGAAATTTTAAAGAAGAATTAAAAAAAGAAAAGAAATGTTTTGTATTTCTTAAAATTAATATAGAAAATTATCTACTAGACCAATTTTAATATTTCAACTACTATTAAAGTCATTAGACTCTGCTCTACAACATTATTTAAAAGCTTAAAATGTAATAACTTAGTATTAAACTGATTTTCAGAGCAATTTTAAAAACAATTTTAGAATAATTTATTGTGCCACATAGACAGAAAACTTTGAAAATTTTTATAATTTGAATTAGACTATGTAATTTATAGAATTTTTATTTTTTTTAAATTCTATCATGTTCTGTATTACTAAAAGAGATGACTTTTGAACATTATTTATATTACAATTATTTTTATATTTCTTTATTAAAACAAAAAAAATTTATATTTTTTTTTGACTTCAACTACTTTTCTCAACTCTATCATCTAACTCAAATCATTTCCAATTCTTTTATTTCTCATCTGAACTAATCTCTTCTTCATTTTCTTCCATCACTACTATTTTTCTTTTTTCTTTATCATTACCCTTATTCTTATAATCATTCAAAATCTAAAACATCACAATTCATCTACTCTATTTCATCATTAAAGTTATCTTTTTCATTTTTATTTAATTATAAATTATTATTATTTAATTATAAATTATTATTATTTAATTATATATTATTATTATTATATTTTGATTACCTTTCTTCTTCATCTGAATCTATTATTGTTAACAAATTATTCAAAATATTTTCATTATTTTCTTCATTTTCTATTTCTTCTTTCATTACTTCTCTAATCTACTTACTCATATTTATTCTACAAAAATAAATTCTTTATAATAATATAAACAAACTGAAAAAAAATTTTTATTTTTAATGTACATTAATTGTTCTTATATTTTTTTCTTCTGAAAGTTTAAATTTTTTACTACTATATCAAACCTATTCTTCAAACTCTTCTTTTTTTTTTCCTATTTTTGTTTCTTCTTATTCCATTTTAACTCTTCTTTCCTAATTTTATTCTTTAAAATAAACTTCTTCTTCTCTAATTTTTGCTTCTTATTACTTCACTTCAACTCTTTTTTTTTAAGCTTATTCTTTAATTCATCTCTCTCAACTAGCAACTTCATCTTTTTATTTTGAACATCTCGATACTTTGATTACAAATAGTGTTGGGATTCGGATGTCAATTCGGATATCTGGATTGACATCTGCTACTAAAAATAGTCATCTGGATATTCATTATAAATGTAATATTATAATCTGGATATCCATTCAGATATATCCAGATGTATATCAAAAATGTGTACCAGGTTGTACTCTGGATGACCGGAAATCAAACCAATTATTAATGATATCATCAATTAATTAAATAAACTATCGATATACTATACTAATAGTAATTATCGTTATTTTAAAAGCTAATTTTCTTTTTTTTATTAATTCATTTCATATTTTGCTTCATATTTTGCTTCATATTTCACTATATATTTTGCTACATATCTTGCTTCATATTTTTCTTCATATTTCACTTTACAATTTGTTTCACACTTTGCTTCAAATTTGCTTCATCTGAAAAAATAAATATCAGACAGTTTAATGTAGTTTTATATATAGATCTTAACAACAAAGAAGATATCTTAAATCGGTTAAGTGAATTTCAAAAAATATCAAAGCCCACTATGCGGCTAACCAAAACCTTTATTGTCAAAGAAAATAGTTATTTTTCGAGAGAAAATATAAATGTATATGGACAGCTACTTGCTGGTATTAAAAATTTTAAGAATACAAAAAAGCAAAATATTTATTATTGGGCAAACTGGCTTTTTATCTCTATCAACAGAATTCTGCTATAAAAGACTGAATCATTACAAAGTAAAGCAAAAAAATTCGAATATTACCAGCATCAGTACAATGAAGAAAGCATAAAATTTCTCAAGAAAATGTCAACCCAATCATAATAAAAGCATGTAAAAAAAGGAAAAGCTTTCAAAAAATTCTTAATTTATCAAAAAAACAACGAGAATAAACAAAATTAATGATGTAAAAGTTTTTAATCTTTTATAAAAATATACATATTATTATGTGTTGTAACATTTGCAGAATTAATCATATACTAATCAAACTTCAAAATTTTTCCTGATATTTATTCTGGACTGTCACATAAGCATCCAGAGCACAACCTGGTCACATTTTCAGGTTGTTATTTATATCTATATTATAAGAAAAGGATAGGGAATAACAGGTGACACACGAATTTCTCTAAGATAGCGTGCCAAGTAACCTATAAAAAACAGTGTGAAATAACAATCGTGAATACTGCTAATAATCATTGCATATAGTATTTAGGATCAATAAAAACAAATAACCACGAATACTTTTCATAATCTTTTTATGTTTGAATATATAACATAATATTCTCTGAAAACCTTAAAACAACCTGTAAAATTTGGTAAAAAAAATATAAAAGAATAGAAGATATATATAAACGACTATACTAAAAAATCCAAAATAGTATTACTATAAAAACTTAAACCTAAATTCAATTAATACTGATTCAAACAGTAAAACCCATCTAAATGTATTC